TAACGAGGTTCGGCAACTGCCTACGTCCTCGGGAGCCACACAGATAATTTCTTATTAATTAAACAAGAAATTACAATTTAGGAGCGTATCTCAAAACTGAGATTTCTCAGATAAACACTGTAGCTACAGTGTTAATAATCAAAGGGTATGAACCCCTTTCAATTCTCAACTTGAGAATAAATGATACCCCACAATTAAACCCTCTTTAATTCTCTCTCTCTCTCCTTTTAAATCCCCTCTCTCTCTCTCAAAATCGCGTTGAGAGCTGGAGAAAAATCGCCTCTGCGATTTTAGGGCAGCCGCCGCCACCAGAGAAGGAGAAATCGGAGGAGAGGGGGAAGTTCTTCAGCAGCTAAACCCTAGGGCATGGGGTCTCTTTTATAGGCGGAGGTGGAGGGCTGGCGACAGCCTGTCGCCAGCGACTGCTTCGACGCCAAATTCGAGGCCGAACGCAGAGGTGGGAGCGCTCGAACGCAAAGGACGCCATCGCCAAACGCAGGGTTGCGTTCGAACGCAGAGTTGGGTGGAGGCGCTCGCACGTGGGGCTCGAGCTCGAACGCAGAGCTCGGGGGGGCGCTGCCGAAGATAGCCTGGACCTCACCTGTGGCTTCGCCTCGTCGACATCGAGCTCGTCGGAGCTCCTCGCCGGTGCAGAGGTTGGTATCCACCCCCAAATTAACAATCCATGAATAACGTTTATTTAGAGTATTTTGCGCAATTATCCGTTGTTGGTTTCATATTTTACGAAGACACGAGTATTTGGGTTCTCTCTTTAACAACAGTCATGTCTTTATTATATAGTACCATGTTGAGATGTGTATATGGGTTGAGATTCTTTATTGATTTTACCTTTCGCATTTTAGTATAAAATATTTGCAGTTCACTTATATTAAACAGATGCATCTCATGTTAACATACCGTTATATGTAGGAAAAATAAGTAAGTCATAATGGGCTCAAGGTGCTTCCAAGAGGTTTTTATTTTAGCGCTAAGAACCTAAACTTGGGTCTCACATCCTGACCACAGGCTAAATAATTCAGGGGATTGCCACGACAATCAGAGTATTGAAGTGTTGATTGCATTGAGACGTGGCTTGCTTACATTTCCAATTCCTACGAAATATTATTTTTCACTCGTGGCATCAAAAATGGTATAATAATTTGTTGGTGATATTTCTATTGTATATAAACATGTTTACATTACTTTTGATTTATGATGATTTGTATATTTAGTTTTGTTAAACTAGTGCATAATGTATAGATTCATCCACTTAGTAAGTATTAAACTCATTATGTTTTATTCATCTTTTCAGAGACTCCGGATTAGGTAGAGCTGGAGAGACTCATAATTCTAAGGAAGAATTGAGGAAAATGACTGAACTTTGATTAATTGCAGTGTTGTTTTTTAAGTGAATTTTTAAATAAATATGTCGATCGATGTTTAATTGATTTTTTAAAGATCATGTAGTGAGATCTTCTCTTTGAGTTTGAATCCCACTTCTGGTTCAGAGAACTTTTATCCATTGTATAAATTGGATTAATATAGGTCTTGATTATGAAGAATAATTCACTGAATTTTGATTCATATGATAAGTGGTGGTGGTTATTTGATAAGTTTAGGTATGGATCATATGTGGAGGATGTAAAGAAATAGAAAAAGGTCAAGAAGATATGTTATTTATCTAACTCAACCTTTCTTAAACAGAGGTTTGGGGGATATTACAAAATAGCTATGAGATAAAATCATATCCAATCATATTCCTAATATCTCTCAATTACATATTCCTAATATATTATTCCTAATTATTTATATTTCTACAATATATTCCTTGACACTCCCTCTCAAAGCTGAAGCATGTATATCATACATGTCCAGCTTGTTACAAATAACGTACACACGTTCTAGTCAGTGACGGTGTCTCAAAATAATTTTGTTCTTATTTTTCACTTGGATATCTTCAAATCAGTTAGTCCCCTCTAGGGCTCCACCAATCAAATAATCCTTTTAGGATGCAAGAACAAATGATCCTTTTCAGGATCCGACAACAAATGATACTTTTTTGAAGGATTCGAAAGGATCCTTCTTTAAGAATCTAACGACAAATGATCATTTTCAGGATTTAACAATAAATGATCATTTCTTTAAGGATCTAACAAATGATCATTCTTTAAGGATCTGACAAACAAATGGTGGAGTTGACTTTGCGCTCGAGAAAAGATCAATAAGGCAGAGATCGACAATGAGGACGATATCAAATCGTCGAGAGACCTCTGTCATCGAGATCCAAATTTTGGGGTCGTAATTCAAGTAAAGCGCTCGTGCAGAGACTTTCTATACACAATTAAGATAGATTTACTACATGGAAGCATGTAAAAACTTGTTTCCAAAATTAATGATGATATAAATTTTGTAATGGATAATCCATGTACAATCATCACGGAAGATAGTTTAAGTAAATGAAATACTGGAATGCTAAAAATTGATCAAGGCATTATGGATTATATAACATTATCTTGAAAATTACGAATAATAAAAATTTAACACTTCAGAACACATGATTTAGACAAAAGTAGAGACACGTCACTAAAAATTTAATAAGCAAAACAATACTACTTCAAAATATAACTACTCGACACAGACAAGGAAAACAGATAAAACATAGTTACGTATGATAAAGTGAAAGGTAGTACTAGAAGTTCAAAAGTTTAGAAGCAACATTTAAATAAAATTTTCATTAAAAAATATTTCTACAGATAAAAATAGAAGAAATAAGCAAATTAGACAAAACAACTCAAAATATTATTTAGCTAAAGATAGTCTTTGTATCTTGAAAAGTTCAAATATTACTTCAAGAAAGTGTATTGTCTTTTCTTTGAAAAACCAAGGCTGTTTTCTAGACTCGAGAACACAACTAACCAACAAAAGAAGAACAAGTCAACAATATGAAATTTTGATTTAAAAAAATATTAGAAAGATGTGAAATGTTCCGAATGCTGTTAAAAGTTCATAGGAAATTGCTAAACGAATGTCTTTGATGACGTTATAAAATTTTCTATATTTCAGAATACGAGTACTTCAGAAGAAAAAACAAAATCAATTCAGTACATACATTTCATATGTTTGAAAAGTATTTAATATCATAGCAAATGTCACTAAGTGAAGTTGGGCTACAAGTACTATCGGGGGAAAAAATAATTCAATACATACATTTGATAAGCTTGTGAATATTGTTTCAACTATATATGTTTGAAAAGCATTCAATTAGTGAAGAAATTGAAAATCAAAGATATCTGGAAATTTAAAACTAGTTCAACATTCTAGTAAAAGTTGCTAATCTAATTATATAAAAACTTAAAACTTTTAAAAATTTAGTGGACGTGTTTAAAATAATTGAAGCTGAAAAGATCTGGAATAAGTTTAAAGTAGACAATACAAGATAATCTAGATTTGCTTGACTATGTAACAACACAAACGTAAAGGCTGCACTCGCTATTAGTTCATAGCATGGAAAGATGTTGATTGGTCTTAAACATAGTTGCCCATGCATGTCAAACAATTTATTTGGAAAATTCTTTGAAGCCAAAAACAGTCCATGGAACCAAAATATGACAAAGATAAATTAGCACTGAAAACTTGAAATAAAAATCAATTGAAATCTATAGTAGACAGAGAACTTCATTTAAAATTTTAAGCGTGTAGATTTTTAAGAATATAGAGAACAAGAGTTTAAAAAAAGCCTAAAGTGTCGGGATTCCCTCCTAGTAAGATCCAGACTCCAAGAAGCATAAATGGTGCTGAGCATATAAGCTTGAAAGTTGCATTGGAGGATGCAAAGTAAACGAAGTTTGAAGGTTGCCCATGGGAATATGAAAGAGCAATTATGCATTACCTTTTGCATTGGCAACTGGCCAGGAGATGACTATATAAAGCCCTAAGGATTGGTTGCAAGTTTTAGCAAAATAATGAGAAGTAGAGAGAACAAGCGAATGTGAGTTGCCTGAAAATTCCAACCAGCAGAGAGTTTATCCTTGATCAAAGGCGAAACGTTGTCCAATCGAGACAAAATTTTAGCGTGTTGTTCCTGAGGTGCTAGCGCTTACATCCAACTCTCAGATCATCAATTTGACTCCTCCACAATCCGCTGTCATCTACCTTTTGACGAGTTCGTTTCATGTTATCCACTCTCCGGAGTGAAGTATATTGTTGATTGTTGATCAATGGTTTGTTAGGAATTTTAATGCCTAAATCCCTAATTGCAACAGAAACGCAGAATAGAAAAGTACACCAAGATTTAACGAGGTTCGGCAACTGCCTACGTCCTCGGGAGCCACACAGATAATTTCTTATTAATTAAACAAGAAATTACAATTTAGGAGCGTATCTCAAAACTGAGATTTCTCAGATAAACACTGTAGCTACAGTGTTAATAATCAAAGGGTATGAACCCCTTTCAATTCTCAACTTGAGAATAAATGATACCCCACAATTAAACCCTCTTTAATTCTCTCTCTCTCTCCTTTTAAATCCCCTCTCTCTCTCTCAAAATCGCGTTGAGAGCTGGAGAAAAAATCGCCTCTGCGATTTTAGGGCAGCCGCCGCCACCAGAGAAGGAGAAATCGGAGGAGAGGGGGAAGTTCTTCAGCAGCTAAACCCTAGGGCATGGGGTCTCTTTTATAGGCGGAGGTGGAGGGCTGGCGACAGCCTGTCGCCAGCGACTGCTTCGACGCCAAATTCGAGGCCGAACGCAGAGGTGGGAGCGCTCGAACGCAAAGGACGCCATCGCCAAACGCAGGGTTGCGTTCGAACGCAGAGTTGGGTGGAGGCGCTCGCACGTGGGGCTCGAGCTCGAACGCAGAGCTCGGGGGGGGCGCTGCCGAAGATAGCCTGGACCTCACCTGTGGCTTCGCCTCGTCGACATCGAGCTCGTCGGAGCTCCTCGCCGGTGCAGAGGTTGGTATCCACCCCCAAATTAACAATTACATTGTTCTAGATACAATTAATTTGAGTAACAAAAGTTTGATTTTTAAGTAAGTTTGACACGTGATACAAAATTTGACAAAATAGCAATAATTGAGAACATTTGAAAACAAGTAAATGGGAGAAGAGGACCAAACCGGCATGAGCCCCAAAATAATGTTACATCCCTATCCTTTAGTATATATATTCATATGTCGAAATCGTCCTCCTTCAACACCGCCATAGCTGCTGCCTCCTCTTCATCATCCAAAGCAAGGTACGGATTCTTCACCTTCGGCCTAAACAAGTAAAACATCAAGATATAGAACGCAAGTGTCACCCCCTCCTCCACCGCCAAACTCATCCACTTATTCTTATACGACAAAATCGTCTTCAATGCAAACACGACAACCCTTGTAAAGTACAGGTACCCAATCACCACGAGATAAAACCTCCTAAAAAGAACAAGCTTACTGAGATTCTTAGCTGCCTTCCCATCACTCTTCGACGTTTCCCTCAATGACCTAATCGACCACACAATTGGAAACAAAATAGCACAACAACAAACAACGTCAACCAGCAGGAAAATCTGAACCCAAGCTGCCCAATCCTGAATAAACGGCCCAGTCTCCCCAATAACAATCGAGGCAATATTGGTCACAACCTGCAGAGGGATCACCAGCATCAAAACCTTCTTCTCTCTGCCATGAAGGAACGGCTTCAAGAACGACCACCCGGTTCCAATCAATACAATAACAGTAAACAACAACACCCCCTTAATAAACTGGAACAGATAGAAGAGCACGTCCCATCCATGGGGAGTTCCAGTGATCCTAACATAATGCTGGTCCTCAGCTTTAAACACAAGATTCAAAATTTTCGCAACCAGTAACCCAGCCATCAAGTAATGGATCCGGTGAGCCGAGCTTCTATTTGCAATCAAACCAAAATGAATCCAAATAACTAAGAACGCCACATAAATCAAAGAGAAAAGGAAGCATACGGTCGGCACCGGCGCCTCGCCGATCGGCAAATAATCACGAGATCCGTCAGGTTGAGCGTTGTAAAGCACAGTGCGGACCGACATTGAGACCTCGGATTCGGGAACGCAGTTTGCGAAGAAGAGATTGTAGTCATCGGCGAGGGCGATCGGGAAAGTCCGATTGTAGGAGTTGAAGGGAGGAGGGGAGAGATCTCGAAAGGTGAAGAGGAGGCGGATGTAGGGGCTTGAGAGGATGCACGGGCTAGGGTTAGGGTTTTGGGGCTGGTCGTCGGCGATTAGCGTTTGGAGGAGGTTGGAGGAGGAGTGGAGGAAGAAGCCGAAGAGGGAGGGGTCGGCGGAGGAGACGGAGGAGGATAAGGTGGCCTCGGCGACGGCGATGTTAGCGGCGCCGTCGGAGGTGAATCCGAATTTCTCGAAGAGGATCAGAGAGCGGGAGTCGCCGGCGATCTTGAAGTCCTTGATCTCGGCGAAGGCGGCGGAGGCGAGGAACGAGAAGATGAAAGCGGCGACGAGATTAGGGTTCTTCATTGCCTGAGATCTTTTTTCTTCTGATTTTTTTTCGAATTTTGCTTGATCTTTTTTTTCCCCCTTCTTGGATTTACGGTTGCTGCTGTTGTTCATAGAAATCGGAGGAGACTTGGAGAGCGGACTACTGGACTTGGAAGTCGTTGAGGAATGTCCCGCGGAGGAATACAAGGCAGCGACTTTGGCGGTTTGAATTAGCTTTGAGATTCGTGGCGACGGTGGCGTCAGATTAACGGACGGTGGATTACGTGAGGCCACGTTGTTCCTAAGGTATATTGTAACGGTTGCAGGCGGTCGCTGCCTGTCCAAGGAACAGGCACATTTTGAAAATAAAAAAAAGGGAGGGACTTTTAAATAAATTTTGCATCAGTCAATTTGCTTCCTTGCAGAGAACAACAGCAGCTATAAATGCCGAACATTGACTTGCCTCCTGTGAAGCTTTTGCCGCAATAAAAATCCATTTCGTTTTCTCTCCAGCTCCTCAAAGCTTCCGAGAGAAGGTAAGCATCGAAGTCTCCCTCCTCTCGATTTCTTTCGAAGATCAAGCTAGGTTTTTGTACCGAAACACTTCATTCTTTATGGCGAATCCGAGGATTATCTCCGTCGTTAATGTTTCCCCCCCTAATTTTGGTTTAATCATTGGAATTTGAGGGCCGCAATGTTGATTTTTCTTGTTCATGATACGCTGTATTCTTTGGTTGATCAAGAGTTCTGTTAATTTAGCGTTATCTAGCATCTGAAGTTACAAATTTCTTCATATTTTTGTTGAATTTTCTTGAGGCCCCACATCTGGATAATGTTGGTAGCTGTAGTTTTGTCCTCGCTAGGGTTTGCAGAATTTTTTTTGGTTCTTTTAATGGGAACAATTGGAGATTAAGCGTCTTTTTGGGGTTTCACGGTGCAAGAATATGGAAATTGAGGTTGTTTTCCGTGGTAATGAAGAAAGCAGAATTTTCAATTTTTCTTGCTAGTGGTGTGCTGCATTCTTTGTTTGATAGTGATTCTCAGCGTTTCCTTCTTTCAATTCTTGAAAATATGCCAGCTCTTGTATAGTTAGTGTTATCTAGCTAGCATCCAAAGTAACCATATTCTACACATTGCAGTGTTCTTGAGGTCTATCTCTGTATAATGTTTGTAGCTGTAGTTTTGTTCTTGAAGGGTTTGGAGAAATGTAGTTTTGATTTGGGCAATATGAGAAATTAATTAGGGGCTGTTTTGTTCATAGCCACCCAAGGAAATAAAAGTCAAGAGGAAATCGATTTCCTCTGCCACCTATTTTCCATCTGTGTGGTCTGGAACAAAAAAAAAAGGAGAAAAGTGTCTTACGGGACCCACACTCAGAGATGATAATAATGCAGCGGTTCCCACAAAAATCTGGAAACCTATTTCAGATTGTTTTGAGGGGTGTTTATTTCGGGTGGGAACCCTTGGAAAAGGATGGAAAGGCTCTAGGACAATCAGAAAGTACAACCAAAATTTTTTAAGAAATATTTTCTTAAAAGTGAGGAAAACACCATTTCTTGCAAGAAAACCAATTCCTCTCTAGAAGTGATGAAATGAGAAGGAAAAGGTTGGAAAGGTGAGTTTTTAATATTTAAATAATGGATGATAGGGGGAGTTGGTAAAATATAAATTATATAATAGCTAAATAATTAAAGAGATGTTTTCATCTCAATTGGTTTCTTATTTTTGCCTTTTGAACCAAACAGGGAATATGGTAGAAATTGTTTCCATGCCCAAACAAACACAAAAAACTTCTTCTAAGAAACCCATAGAAAAGGGTGAAAATTGGTTTTTTACTACTAGAAAACATTTCCTATTTGTTCGGAAACAAAACAAACACCCGAGATGAAATAGGCTAAAAATGATGGAAAAGTGGGCCCCACATGTGATGTTTGATTTTTCCCCCCTTGAAACCACCAAAAATGGTAACCATGTAATGAATCAAACAGGCCTTAAGGTTCTTTTTTTTGGGTTTCTCAGGCCAAGACAATGGAAAATTAAGGTTCTTGTTGGAGTGTAATTTGGTCTGGCTAGTGTACTTGAGTAAGTAAAGTGACTATACTGATTGTTTAAGCCCTTTTATGATTGGAATGCGCCCTGTTCATGCTATTGTGGTGTGAGTTTTATTCTTGAAAAATAATGATCCCGGATATGAGGCATTCTTTTGATTTCCTTATACTTGAAAGGTACTGAATGGCTAGTAGATGAGGTCATTATTGCATGGATTGCACATTGAAATTCTGATTCAATAAGTGTATATTCTGAGAATAAAGATTGCAGGCGCGAGAGGGTATTTTTGCTATCTGGAGTCAAAATGCATGTGGTCAGACTGGTTAATGACCTGATAAAACGAGGTGTTTCCTCGGTTGCAACCACTTTCCATCCCTTTAGCGGCGCTGTTGATATCATTGTTGTCAAGCAACAAGATGGTACCTACCGGAGTACACCATGGTATGTGCAGTTTGGAAAGTTCCAAGGTGTCCTTAAAGGTGCAGATAAGATTGTGCGCATTTTTGTCAATGGTGTTGAAGCCAATTTCCACATGTACCTTGATAACTCTGGAGAGGCCTATTTTTTGAGAGAAGTTGTTCCGGGAAGTGAAGAGAATGGTCAAGATTCAAGTGATTTCAGCTCTTTCAGAACTTGTGAGGATGATAAGGTCAGCAATATTGAGGGAGTGCATGAGAATGAGCATAGTGAGAGCAAAGTTGAAGTTGAGGGTGACAGCCAATCGCATGGATCCCAAGATGAGCACTCACATATGCACAGTCCTTATGGTTCTCCTGGGTATAGCACCAACCAGTATGAGAGATTTGATGAGGTAGAGGAGAAATTTGTCAAATCTACCAGAGATTCCAATTCAGAAATGGTATTGATGAATACAGATGGACATGGTATTAGAGTACCGATCTCTATGGAGAAAAGGAATGTAGGCAATACCCATTTAAGCACCCCTCAGGAACGTCCTGATGGCAGAGGGGATGTGTGTACTGCTGATCTACATTGTAATTTGAATACATCTGAGGACAAGGACACCGGAGCTACTGAACATCAAAATGAAGACAATGAAGCTAGCATAGGAGTTCCTATCTATGGATCAAAGGAAAATAATATCAGATATGTTGACAATGAAAGAAGTTTAGAGGTAAGAATTTCAGGTTATGATGAAAAGCATGACATGTTGAAGAGTTACTCGGATCTAGCTTTACATATTGAAGAAGATGATTCTCAGTATGGGTGTAAGTCAGTCTTGGACTTAGAGAAGGAAGAAAATTTTGAGGACAGTTCATCTGCCACTGATATGAAGTTCAAGCTAAAGAAGAAAGAAATATTCAAGGACAACTCATCTGTTCGTGATATAAAATTGGAGGAAGCAGTGGATGACCATAATTTGAGAGATCATGCATCGAGTGCTTTTCCAAGTTCTGATACTCGAAGCAGTCCAGATATGCAAGCTGTAGACACAGAACGAGGGGATTTCAGGAACAATATGGGTGACGTGTCTCAGAGTAATGATGTTCATCCCAATGATCATACATGCCTACATGATGCTGAGAGATTGCTGCTAATGAATATTGAACCTGAGGATGTTGAAAATAAAGTTGATGAGGACTCCAGAGTTCTCACTGTCCATTCATTAAGTAGCAAAACGGAAAATAAGGGTGTGCAAATGGGGTTTACTGCAGGTTCAGAAATGTCACCCGAAGCAGAGGAGTGCAACAAACCCGATTCTGTGTCGAGAAGAATCTATCAGTCTGGTAAGTGGCCTTTTCTTAATAGTCCTACGCTTTGCTCAACAGCGTACAATATTTTCGTATCATATAAACTTGTTTGGTCACTTATATGTAAAGAATTTGAACAGGTTTTGAGATTTCATTGTGTGGTAATTTACTCGTGCCTGGTATGGGGCAAAACTTGGCTAAAGAAATCTTCCAAGCATATCAAATATCTGAGAATGAGTTCAAGGTATATGGACAGGACATCATTAAGAATGAGAACCTTGTTCTCAGGTATGATGAAAGGTATTATACGTGGAATAAGGTTGCCCATATTCTTCTTGGGATTACATTATTTGGTTCAGAGTTTTCAGTGGATCCTGCTGATTCAATCCCTGTTGAACATGTTGAAGTACCAAATGATAGACAGGAGTCACATGGAAGCCCCCTTTCTACTTCCACCAGTAGGTGGACATTGTGGCCAATTTCTTTTAGGAGGGTAAAATTGCTTCACCGTAATGTCAGTGTTTCTTCAGATGATGAAGTTTTTGTTGATTCGGCATCTTCCTTTGAGAACCCACTTGAAGAACAAGCTGATATCGGTAGTAACCTAGCTCCTCGGAAGAGTTTTCTACGGACGAACATACCTACTAATGAGCAGATTATGTCTTTGGATTTAAAAGATGGTCAAAACACAATTTCTTTCAGTTTTTCCCCCAGATTTTTAGGAACTCAACAGGTTCGAATTCTTAGGTCTACTGCCAAACAGTTGATTAACAATGATGTTCTTATTTAATCGTCTCCCTTTTAGGTGAATGCACATATATACTTGTGGAAGTGGAATACAAGGATAGTCATATCAGATGTTGATGGGACAATTACCAGGTTAGCTGTGTTCATACTCTAGTTCAACGTAAAATCATATATTTAGCGGACCAGACTGGGTGCGATATAGATATATGTTGGTTTCTGCTCTGTATTTGGTGGTGTTATTTTCTATTGTGTAGTTATTAGACATCCATGAAAGATAGTCCTATGTAAACAGTTAAGACTGGATCTCAGTTGATGTCTTCTGTTACATTACTGTTTAGTGACACAGATATCTTTCAAACCTTACATCTTCAAGGTCCTGCACTGCTTGTGGATTGTTATATGTTGCAGTTACTTTTCACTGAATTGAAGTTTGTATTGCACACCATCTCAACTTTTCCTTGATAGATATTGCATATGAGCTTATGAATATTCATTTTTTTAGTGAGTCGTAATCTGCAATCTTCATTTTGATTTTGCTACCTATACTATTTTTTCCAGGTCTGATATCCTAGGCCAGGTTATGCCTTTGGTTGGAAAGGATTGGACACAGTCTGGGGTAGCGAACCTTTTTTCTGCGATTGAGGTATGTTATTTCCAGCTCGAAAAAAGATGTGCAATGTGTCATGGCTTTGATGATAATACATAACTTTTCTTTTCAAATATTGTTCTCATTTACTTTTTCTCACTTAATTCTCTTCGAGACAAGTAATAATATGTTTTGCTATGGTAAAAGTGAAACCTTTGACACTACTGTTAAATGGTGGTGTTTAGTTAGAGAATAGTTCTACATCAGTTGGACACAGAAATTGAACAAGCTTCCCATTTCAGATTTCTTCTTCCAAAGTTAAAACATGTGCTTGTTCAAAGGTGGAACACCTTCAGGCGGTTTTGTTTATTGCATATGCAGAAATCTTTAATCAATGTTGTAGTTTACATTATTCCTTTCTTTCTATTACAGATGATTAACCTTGAGCTGTCAATAAATTTTTGATGCTGCTTTTTATGGTGTTATTACTTATTTGAAATGTATTACTGAATTAGTTTCATTTTAAATCAGGAAAATGGGTATCAGCTGCTGTTCCTAAGTGCCAGAGCAATTGTTCAGTCATATCTTACTAAGAGTTTTCTCGTCAACCTTAAGCAGGTATCAGATGCATCATGTTGCTCACTTGTTAGTCCTGGACTAAGTCTTGTTGTGGGTTCATAAATAATTCATAATTTTGTAGCAAAAGTTAGTTAAATTTTCATGTAAGGTGCCACATTAGAGATTCTGGGCTGACGATGCAGCCTTTCATTTAGCTGTTGAGTATAAGTCTTTTATTTTGTTTTAGATCCACTTAATTGATATTAACAAAGGATGCTACTGTTAAAAGAAAAGAAACAATCAATATTGAAAAGAATATGGTTTTCTTTTTATGATTTGTATTGATTCATAACATCAATATATATACAGATGTGATACATTATAAATGGAAATAAATCCCATGATTTAAGCTCTAATCAGCCAGCACATTTGCTATTATGTAGGATCTGAAATATAAGCATGCTGGCTAACTTACATGGAAAGATTAAGGGGCTATGATTAAGCTTAGAATCAGCTATCAATTATCCGCATTCAATTCCTATGATCAAGCTTAGAATCAGCTATCAATTATCCTCATTCAATTCCTTTTCTTCAATACTCCCCTTCAAACTGGTCTGGGTTTGTTGCAGAAGACCAAGTTTGGTTTTCAACACATTGAATTGATCTCTAGGTAAAGGCTTGGTGAAGAGATCAGCAAGCTACTGTTTGGAACTAACAAAGCGCGTGACAAGAGAACCAAGAGCGACCTTCTCCCTTACAAAATGATAATCAATCTCTATATGCTTAGTTCTAGCATGGAAGACCGGATTAACTGTCATGTGAAGTGCAGCCATATTGTCACAAAATAAAAGTGCAGGTTGTGACTGGAAAATCCCAATATCACGAAGCACAAAGCACAACCATGTGAGTTCTGCAGTAGTTGAAGCTAAGGCTCGATATTCTGCTTCAGCGCTTGACCTGGACACTGTGGGTTGTTTCTTAGCACTCCAAGAAATACAATTTGCACCCAAAAAGGTACAATAGCCTGTAGTAGAACGACGAGTCTCTTTACAACCTGCCCAATCTGCGTCACTGAATCCATATAGATCAAGTGTAGTATGAGCTAAAATTCGCATGCCATGACTCAAAGAACCCTTCACATATCTGAGTATCCTTTTGACCATCTGATAGTGAGCATTTGTTGGTGCTTGCATATGTTGACATACGATGTTGACAGCATAAGAAATATCAGGTCTTGTTAGAGTAAGATATTGTAAGGCTCCCACAAGGCTACGATATAACTTTGCATCTGAGAATAAATTGTCACTTCCTTGTGAAAGGGAAGGTTTTGCTACCATTGGTGTCGCAATGGGTTTACAATCACTCATGGAAGCACGATGCAACAATTCTGAAGCATACCTAGTTTGAGAAAGAAAGAGTCCTTTGGCATTTCGAGTAACTTCAATTCCAAGGAAGTAGTGCAAAGGACCTAGATCCTTCATGGAAAATTTTGAGTGCAAGTCATGAATCAAAGCAGTAATGAGGGAATCCGAGCTACCTGTTAGGATGATGTCATCAACGTAGAGAAGCACAATAAGTACGTGATTATCATGATGATATACGAACATTGAAGGATCAGCAACGCTGCAATAAAATCCACAATTCAGTAAAAATTCACTGAAACAGTCAAACCAGGCTCTCGGTGCTTGTTTCAGTCCATATAATGCCTTTTTAAGATAGCAAACATGCCGAGGACGTAAGGAATCAACATAGCCTTGTGGCTGCTCCATGAAAACCGGAATATCAAGATTTCCATGAAGGAAAGCATTCTTGACATCAAGTTGACGAATTGTCCAACCACGAACAACAGCTACAATGAGAACAATGCGAATGCTTCCTGGTCTTATCACAGGGCTAAATGTCTCCATAAAATCAACACCTTCTTCTTGATTGTACCCTTTCGCCACCAATCGTGCCTTAAGACGGTCAAGAGTACCATTTGCTTTGAGTTTTGTCTTGAAAACCCAACGACACCCAACAATATTCATTGTTTCTAAGCGAGGAACTAGATCCCATGTTTGGTTTGATGCGAGAGCTTTCATCTCCTCATCCATAGCTAGCTTCCAACCTGGATGCTTGAGAGCAGATTTAACAGTACGAGGCTCAGAAGGAATATTGATGACAGTAAGATTAACATATTTGGGATTAGGCTTGAGTATGTCATGTCTTGAACGTGTCACCATGCCATGAGATTGATCACTAGCCACTGGTTGAGAATTATCTTCGTCTTCTGGAATTGAGGAACTTTGTTGCGCATCCTCTTGAGATTCCACAATAGAAGAGGTTTGTTGCTCATGAGTCTCCAGAGATGTTTCTTGTGCTGGAATTTGTTGAACATGAGCTTCTTGTTCTGGAGTTTGTTGAACAGAAAATTCTTGAGAATTATCATGTTGCTCAAAATTGGTAGCTTGAGTATGAGTAGTAGAAGAATCTCCAAACATCCTTGCTCGTTCCATTCCACTGTCAGTGTTAGAATCATTTGGGCAATTATGAAGCCAAGTTGCAGTAGTATAGGGCTCCCCTTCACCTTGTGCTACACGAGGAATTTTAGAATTGACAGCAAAAGGAAAATTGGCTTCATCAAAGATCACATGTCTAGAGATGTAAACACGTCCAGTAGGAATATATAGACAACGATATCCCTTATGTTTGTCACTGTATCCTAAAAATACACATGGCAGAGATCTTTTATCAAATTTGTTAGAAGCATTATACCTTAAGTATGGATAACAACATGCACCAAAGGTTCGGAGAAAAGAGTAATCAACTTGCTTCTTGTAAAGTATTGCAAATGGAGATCTCATGTTAAGAGTTGAAGAGGGCAAACGATTAATCAGGAAATTTGATGTAGTAAAAGCTTCAACCCAATATCGACGTGGAACTGAACTATGTAAGAGCATTGCAAGTCCTAATTCAACTATATGTCGGTGTTTACGCTCAGCAACACTATTTTGCTCAGGTGTTCCAGGACAAGACATTTGATGTTTAATTCCATAATTAGCCAAGTGCTCCACAAACTCAGTCTTATTAAACTCTCCTCCACCATCTGACTGAAAAATTTTGATTTTCTTGTCAAATTCATTCTCAACCAGTTTATGAAATTTCAAGAAAACACCAAAGAAATCTGATTTTCTTCTCAAAGGATAAAGCCAAGAATATCTAGAAAAATCATCAATTAACACAACATAATACTTGAACTGTTGTACTGAAGAAAGAGGAGCAGGTCCCCACAAATCACAGTGAATCTTTTGTAAAGGAGACTCTGAAATAGACTTTGAAGAAGTAAAAGGAAGCTTATTACTCTTGCTTAGCTGACAACTTTCGCATAAACCATGGAAACTTTTATTGACTCTAATAAATTTATTCTTGCACAGAAACTGAAAAACTTGTTGATTAGGATGCCCAAGCCTCCGATGCCAGACTTCCGCATTTGCTACTTGAGATCTGTTAGAGAAAAAGGCTGAACTTGGTGGCTTGTCCAAGGCATACAATCCTCCTTGCTTAGTTCCCATTGCTAGAACCTGTCTTGTCTTCAGATCCTTGATTGCAAAGTTATTTTTGTCAAATTCAAAATAACATGGATAGTCTTGAGTAAGTTGAGAAACAGATAGTAAATTTTTCTTAATATCTGGCACAACTAGTACATCTTTCAGAGGAATATCATGTGAACTAGTAGAAATGTGACCCACTCCAATATGTGAAATTGGAAGACATTTTCCATCTCCAATCATGACAGAATCACTACCATAATAAGGCACCAAATTTTGAAGCTTACCAGGATTATCAGTGACATGAGCTGAGGCTCCAGTATCAGGATACCAATCTGTAATTTGTTCTTCTGTCAAGTGAGTAGCTGCCATGGCATGTGGTAGTTCCTCTGCTTGATAACTATTGTTAAAACGATGCCAACATCTCAAAGCATCATGCCCAACCTTTTTGCAGATTTGACAAACTAGTGAATTGGGACGAGTGCTGCTTGATTGTTTGTTTGTTGAGGATTCAATGTTGCGAGAACTTTGATTCGAAGGAGAGAATCCTCGCCCCTTGGAAGTAAAAGAGGAGAAACCATCACCATTAGTATTGTAATGTTTAAAATGATTTTTGTTACCTCCATTATTATAACGATTTCCTCCATATCGATGAGGTCCGTTGTTTCTTTGTGAGATGAAAGCCAATGACTGATCTGAATTAGATAGACTCTTCTTATTGCGTAATTCAAAGCTTTGCAACAAGGGAACAATCTCAGCATAAGAGGGCAGTGGAGGGCGAAGCATTGTTGTTGTGAAAGCTTCATATTTAAGACCAAGGCCTTCCAGCAATCGATATACCTTTGTGTCATCTGAAACTGGCTTTCCAATAGCATTCAACTGATCACAAATAGACTTGAATTCTCTCAAATAATTAGCCAATAGTTTGGTCCCTTTCTCAACATGTTGAAGCTGAGACATTAATTCAAATTCTCTTGCAACACTACTTTGAGTAAAATGCTCGGTTAAAGAATTCCATACCTGGGCTGCTGTTGACAACCCTACGGCAAGGCCAAGAACATCTTCTGAGAGAGTCCCTATAACCCATGATTTCACCAGTCGATCTGTGCGAACCTAGGAAACATAGGCTGGGTTTGTTGACTCCTTCTCTGTGCCTATATCATTTATGGCTGGAGGAGCAACTTTTTCACCAGTTAGAAAACCAAGTAAGTCCTGAGATTCAACCAGAGACATTACTGTTGTGCGCAGCAATAAATAATTATTTTCATTGAGTTTGAGTGTGACAAAATTGGCAATGTTGATATTGGAGGGAAAGGGATATGTGTTTTGGGAAGACATGGCTGAACAAGAGAAGGTTTAGCGTGCTCTTGTATGGCTCTGATACCAAAAAGAAAAGAAACAAACAATATTGAAAAGAATCAGCTCTAGGACTGCGCGTCGAGGGATCCTACAAGCTATTACAAATCACGGCAAGAACACAAATTTTACGTGGTTCGGCAAACTGCCTACGTCCACGGGGCAAGGAGGGGGGAGATCTACTATTAGAGGGAGAGAATACAACTAGGGTTTACAATCACACAACTAAAACCCTCAAACAAACTCTCAAATCCCTCTCACAAAATCTCTCTCAAAAGGACACAAAAGGACACAAAAGGACTGCACAGAAATCCACATACAAAAGCCCTCTGACTGCTCTTGAATCAGCCGCTCACCTAGAGTTTCCGTGCACAAACCCTTGCTGCCGTTTTCCTTCGTAGCCGCCAGCAAAAGAAAAACTCCCACCTTGCTTTTTTCTGCCGCAGCCACAAACCCCCTCAATTGCACACAACCCTAGAAAACAATAGGCTTCTATTTATAGCTGCAACTCAATTTCGGGTGGGCCTGTTCTCTTCACGTGGCTCTGCCTGTTCTCCTTTTGAAAGCCTTGCACGTGGGTGGTTTGACCCCACTTCATATCCGCCTTCCGCGTTCACAATTCTCCACCTCGGTGAAGTTTTCCCAAAACTGAGCCGACACCAAAGCAACCAAATGTCCGACGCGCAGTCCTAGAGCTGACGAGAGGAAGAGCTGATATCTCACTTTGATGAGATATCTGGCTTTTTGGTTCTTGTTTCCTTTGAGAAACGAGAATTTCATTGTGATCTAATCTCTTGTTGTGCACCTTGCGCACCGGAGGTGCTGCCGAAATTTCCGCTGCGCACAACAAGTGGTATCAGAGCTCCGGGTTGGACTTGGGAGCTTGTTTGAAGGATTCGCTGAAGGATTCTTATTTGAAGATTAGATCGACAATATGGGTGAAACAAGCACATCGGGATCGTCTCTTACGAAGACGATACATAGTTTGAGCATCAATAACATGAAGATTGATGTTCCGAAGTTCGACGGCAAGATTAATTTCGGATTGTGGAGGTGTCAGGTGATGGACGCCTTGGACGCTCAGAATTTGGAGGAGACTCTTGAGTTACAAGAGAAACCTGCCGAGATGGAAGCTAAGGTTTGGAAGAAGATGAATAGTAGGGCGTGTGGAGTTATTCGGTCATGCTTGACGCCGGATCTTATTTATGACGTGATGAACGAGACGTCGGCGAAGAAGATGTGGGAAACACTCAATGAAAAGTATCTTACTAAGAGCATTGAGAATCGGCTTCACTTGAAGAAGAGGTTTTACCAGTTCAAGATGAAGAGGGGAGTTTCCATTAGGGAGCATGTTAATAACTTCACAAAGCTACTTTCAGACATGGCTAATGTGGATATCATGGTTGAGGATGAAGACAAGGCGATGCTACTTTTGTGTTCGTTGCCCGAGGATGATTTTGGTACGTTTGTCCTAACTATGATTAATGGAAGAACTACTGTTAGTTATAAGGAGGTGACCTCAGCGTTGGTGAATTATGAGTTGAGGAAGAGTGTTGATGAGTCCTCCGAGAAGGCATCGGGAGATGCATTAGTAGTTCATGGCCGTGGTTCAAACCGAAGCAGGAGGTCGCAGTCTAGAGGTGCACATCGTGGGATTCGTAGGAATCAGTGTGCCTTTTGTAAAAAGGATGGACATTGGAAAGCCGAATGCCCAAAGTTAGATCGAGCCGAGAAGAATAAGGGGAAAGCTGTACAAGCTTCAGAGGTGAATGTTGTCAAGACTAGTGGCAACGATTCAGATTCGGATTCTTCGGGCTATTCGTTGTCTGCACTACCGTCAGTTTGTGTTGCCAACTCTACAGAGTGGATGTTAGATTCGGGTGCTTCATACCACGTTTGTCCTAGGAGGGATTGGTTCTCCAGCTTTCAGAAGTTGGAAAGAGAGGATGTTGTGCTCATGGGTAATGGACATGCATGCTCTATTGGTGGTATTGGTACCGTTCGGATTAAGATGAGTGACGGGATGGTGCGGGAGTTGGATGAAGTGAGGTTCGTTCCGTAGTTGTCGAAGAACATCATTTCACTAGGAGCTTTGGTGGCATCTGGCTATAAAGTGACCTTGGTGGATGCACGTTTGAAGGTCACATCGGGGTCCATGATTGTGATGAAGGGCGTCAGAAGAAGCAATTTATATTATTTACTCGGAAGCACGGAGATTGATAGGGAGATGACGACTTCATCAGATTCGGCTAGACTGTGGCATTATTTGATGCTGGGTTATTTGATTGGTAATACCGTGCATAAGTTGTTGAGGAGTGCTTTGACCTGCAGTTTGAAGTCCTGTGAACCCATTGGTATGAGCGAGAAGACCGAGATGGAGTTTGACACTTCTATCCATCATTCGAGGGGTTTTCTGAGGGGAGTTCATTCAGGCATTCGGGGGAGGTAATAGGTATGTGGTTTCCGCAGTTGGGGATTGCTCTAGGCATTGGTGGATTGCAACCAAGTCCCGTTGGTGTGAAGTCCTAGAAGCCCGCAACAAATTGAGGAAGTGTATTGGCAGAAAGGTAAAGGTACTTCAGTCTGATGTTAGAGGGAGGTACAAGAGGGACCTATATCTGTATTTGTGCCGAGCTCACGGCAATAAGAGACACTTCATTGGTGTGGAAACTTTAAGGCGACGAGATGAGATGGCAGATTTGGGAAGCTGTTCCTTTCTGGAGGAGGATCGGCGTTTGATGTCGAGCATTGGCATTGGTGTGCAGGCTACGACATGTTTGAGCCATCTTATGTATAGGTTGTCGACTGCTGCATGTATAGATATAGGATCTGATGGAGCTGCTTCAGATTTTGGGTTGCGTCGGATGTTTGGCTACCCAGCACTTAGTCACATCGTGGATGTGAGATTTGATCCGATAGCACATTTGAGATTCAGAGGCGTGTTTGATTATCAGGTATTGGCTTCTGATTTTGTTCTGAGCAGGTATGTCACGTTTAACTCTCGGCAGGTAGAGAGTGGTGATCAGATCTTTGGGACATCGCAGCGGGTGGAGAGTGATGCTACTCCACGTTGGGTGGAGACTCCAGATCATACTATATCATTTGGGATTCCAGCTGAGGTGACACAGATTGGGGATCATTTGGATTTGGATGCAGATGATGAGTTGGATTCGATTGCAGCTGATGGACTTAATTTGGATACGGCCATTGGTTCACCTCAGATGGAGGTGTTTGATTTGTCTCAATTTGGAGCTATTGGGAGTGCTATTAGTTGCAGATCGTTTGGTGATATTGAAGAAGAGTTGCAGATTTTTCTATTTGTTTGAGGGCCTTTGGAGGCCATTTGGGTGAACTACGTTCGGCTTGATTCCTTGGGCAAGAGGATACGTAGGCAGTCTTTATGATGCAGCCGATTTGGATTAGTTGATGGGGGTGAGATTGATTTGGTGAGCGACATCGACATTTGGGGTGAGTGTTTGCACTCCCATTTGGGTCTCAGCAAGTGAGGCATTTGGTGTAGTCGGTGTAGGCTCAGTTTGATTGGTGAGTAGACACTATTTGGTTTGGGTTGAGTGTTCGCACTCCCATTTGGGTCTCGACCTGTTGTGGATGGAGTCCGTTGTCATGAGTCCGTTGCCATGGCGTACTGGATACAACAAGTGAGGCATTTGGTTTGATTGGTGTCGGCTCAGTTTTGGAAAAACTTCGCCGAGGTGGAGAATTGTGAACCCACGTGAATGAGGTGCATGAAGAGATGAATTCACGTGAACACGTGAAGAGCTGGGGACCACATGTGTGCGTGGGTGAATGAAACCAGCGGACACAACCTTTGGCCCACGCGAAATTACCAAGGCCCACCCGAATATACATCATATATATGGGTGTGTTTTTTAGGTTTCGGTGAGCCAAGTGAGGGGGTTCTTGTTGTGCGGCAGCAAAAGAAAAAAAGCAGGAGGCGGTGAAAGTTTGGGATTTTCCTTTAGGCGGCTGCAGCAGACGAAAAGTGCAAGGAGCTTTGGTCTTGGGTGTGCGGCTGCAGAGGAAACATTGGACGGCTGCAGGAGTTCTTTTGTGCCTTTGAGAGATTTTGTAAGAGGGATTTGAGAGTTTGTTTGAGAGGGTTTTGTCTGTGAGATTGTAAACCCTAGTTGTATTCTCTCCCTCTAATAGTAGATCTCCCCCCTCTTTGCCCCGTGGACGTAGGCAGTTTGCCGAACCACGTAAAATTTGTGTTCTTGCCGTGATTTGTAATAGCTTGTAGGTTCCCTCGACGCGCAGTCTTAGAGCTGACGAGAGGAAGAGCTGATATCTCACTTCGATGAGATATCTGGCTTTTTTGATTCTTGTTTCCTTTGAGAAACGAGAATTTTATTGTGATCTAATCTCTTGTTGTGCACCTTGCGCACCGGAGGTGCTGCCGAAATTTCCGCTGCGCACAACAATTACTTGTGTTTCCCACAATAAATAATTATTTTCATTGAGTTTGAGTGTGACAAAATTGGCAATGTTGATATTGGAGGGAAAGGGATATGTGTTTTGGGAAGACATGGCTGAACAAGAGAAGGTTTAGCGTGCTCTTGTAAGGCTCTGATACCAAAAAGAAAAGAAACAATCAATATTGAAAAGAATATAGTTTTCTTTTTATGATTTGTATTGATTCATAACATCAATATATATACAGATGTGATACATTATAAATGGAAATAAATCCCATGATTTAAGCTCTAATCAGCCAGCACATTTGCTATTATGTAGGATCTGAAATATAAGCATGCTGGCTAACTTACATGGAAAGATTAAGGGGCTATGATTAAGCTTAGAATCAGCTATCAATTATCCGCATTCAATTCCTATGATCAAGCTTAGAATCAGCTATCAATTATCCTCATTCAATTCCTTTTCTTCAATACTGTTTGCTTATGAATGTTTAGCAATTTATTGAATGAAAACTGTGTTTAAAGTTTCACTTTTCAGATTGCACACTGACTTGTTTCAGATGATTGCAGGATGGAAAAACACTTCCTACTGGACCTGTTGTAATTTCTCCTGATGGTTTATTCCCCTCACTTTTCAGGGAAGGTAAAGTTTTACAGATATTATAGTCTTTTCCAAGATAATTTTTGGGACATATTTCTTTATGTGAAACCTTATGATCGTTTTACCTCATTAAGAACTGTTGGAATTAGCTGGAAACCTATACTTCACTGCTGTATGAAACCTTACAAGTCTTGGTGCAGATATTAACACAAAAGACCATCAGTGCAGATATCACTAGAAGACGTATTTTCTTCAATAATTTTACTTAGTTCGTAGTCATCCAAGGGGTTCTGTTGTGGGTTCACTATTTCTGGTTCTTTATAATTAATTTTCTGATTGATACGTTATGATTATGGCAGTTATAAGAAGATCACCCCATGAGTTCAAGATTGCTTGTCTGCAGGTAATTTGTTTGTAAGTGCTGATAGACTCTGATAAGTAAACTTGATTGTTTTATACAATACACACTCGTGGGCATGCGCGCACGCACACACACACTGTAAGTGTGAATCATATTTTTTGAAGAACGGGTACTGTGTAAGTAGACAGCTTCTGGTTGTGTGAAATTGTGGAAAAATATAAATAAACAACAATCAACCTTTTCTTAAATCCTTAAATTGTGCAGCAGTGATATTTGGGTCTAATATTTGACTTCTTGTAAATGCTCTCCTGTTTTTAACAGGATATTAGAGAGCTTTTTCCTCCTGATTACAACCCATTTTATGCGGGCTTTGGCAATAGAGACACGGATGAGCTTACTTACAGGGCGCTTGGAATACCAAAGGGGAAAATATTCATCATAAATCCAAAGGTACTTCACCTTTCTATCTTAGTTGACAGAATTGCTGATACCATGACCTTTTCTCCTAACTCAGCACCATTTTAAAAAATTTCAGGGCGAAGTAGCACTCTATAACTTCATGGATATGAAATCATATACTTCCTTGCACAAACTGGTCAATGATATGTTTCCGCCAACTTCATTACTTGAGCAGGTTTGTCATTAAATAATTCAACTTGCATGTCTAAATGGTAGACAAGGAAATCTTAGACCGTGTATGTGCTAAACTAGAAATTTAACATCCAATATGAAACGGTTTAGGTGGTCTACCATGTATTTCTTTCCTCAGTATTATTTGGATTTCCAGACCTGACATGAGAATGCAGTGACGATAGTTCAATTGTTTTAATGTGTGTATACTGCTTTTCTTAAAGTTGATGTTCGTTTTTCAAGTTTGTTACTTTAGCTGCATGAAATCACAGATTTGCCTTTGCTTGGCTGCTGCATAGAACTTGTCTTTATATATATTCTGAATTTCTGAATTGGTGGTGTAAACAGGTTCGCTATGGAAATCTATTCATGATTGATGTGTACTCCTTTGGTACCCTGTATATGATTTGAGTCCTGTACTTCTCTCCCCTTTCTGTTCTCTTAGCAAAATGAGTGCCCATTGGTTGATATATTCTACAGAATAATTACAAAAGAGAAAGTAAATAGGAAATGGAATGAACACATGCAAGTTTTATTTTCCACTTCCTTGTGATGGAAAACAGTAAAAAACTTCCCATATTTTTCTCATTACACTTGATACAACTAAACTATCTATCTTGAGTTACTTTTTGGTTTTGCATTTTTCTTGATTCCAAAGATAATGAGCAGTTGTATTTTGGCATTTGATACAGGAGGATTACAACTCTTGGAACTATTGGAAGCTGCCTTTGCCAAGCATAGACTAGCCAATCGCTGACATTGTTTTTGGGTGCAAAAGCTTCAAATTATTAACTGCCTGCATATATTCTAACTACAAAGTGCTTCAGTTCTAGAGATGTAATTTCGTATAAGTGCATGCGTGAAGGACGCCAACAAGTTCCTTGATTTGTTCATCAAATGTTCTGTACAATTTTGTATACGACGCCTCGTCTCCCATCATTGCAGGAATTTTGTTTCCCTTGAGTGTTTTCTCCACAAGGGAACTCCCAGGAAATTTTAATTGCAATATGTGAAATGAGTTTCTACAGGCTTAGGTTGTAAACTGGAATTTTTTTTATTACATACCTAATAAAATAAAATTTCATTTCTATCTCTGTGTTTCTGTGACTACTCTTGCAGTTTATATAATATCTAGCTATTTGCTTTCCTACCTTATCAGAATACCTAAAAGATGGCGGCAATGCTGTCTCATGTGAATGAGGTTTTAGCGATATGGAAAAGAAATCATAAGCAGTACTTTTCATACTTTTTGAATGGTGATTTAGAGCAAAGTTTGAATGTACATTGAATGTGGGAAAAATACATTTAGTGTAGCAAGTCAACTGTTATTATAAATGTACTAGAACATACTTAAGAATTACACTAGTTTAATATGCACCAGTAGCTATTACTGTAATATTAACAGTTCGAACTTTTTGGTGAGATGAGTTTAGAAATGGCATCATGACTAGTGTATCATAGATACCAGTTTGTTAACAGTCCCATCATTTTTCCTGGAAGTATAAGGCTGGAGTTATCTCCAAAACAATTGAAATATTCTGCTTGTGGAAGATATAAACTTCAAATTTAATTCTTTATTATTATTTTTAACCTTGAAAGTTCATGATTTGAAGCCCGTAAAAATAATAGCAATGTAAATATTTCATTTTCCTTAGTTTTCCGCATAAACTCTCATATGCGACTTCCCGCATACTAACCGTTCATTAAACTCCCTTAATCAAACGGCAATTAAAGCCCAAACAATTAAAGCCCTTTCGATTCCGAAACTCCCCCAGTTTGAAAACCAAAAGGAAACCCTAGTTCCCAAATGTCGTGGCTGAAGAACGCCGTCAGCAAGGCCGTCGAGGTCGGCAACAAGACGAACCTCACTCGCATCAAGAACTATGCCGACACCGTCGTCCACCACGCCGGCCAGGCCGTCGCCGGCGGCGCCAAGATTTTCCAAGATCGCATGGTATTTTGCCCTAATTTGCACTTTAGTGCCCCAAATTTTGACCATTTAAGTGAGAAAAGAGAAAGTTTTGGGGGGTATTGAAGTGCAATAAGCTGAAAAAGATCAAATTTTCACAAAAAAAAAACTGTAATTTTATTTTTTTGAATGGTTTGTAGGGAATGAAGAACTATAGGAGCTTTAAGCAGACAGTGAGAAGGCTGGAAGAAGCTGCGGTGACTTGTAGAGGGCAGGAGAGAGTTCAGCTGCTGAGGAGATGGCTGGTTGCTTTGAAAGAAATTGAGAAGGCTTCTGATGAGAAGAGTCCAGAGCAGGCTCAGTCTTCTGATGAGCCCAACTCCCCTCCTAAAATTGCCCCATTGGTTAGTGTCTCATTATGTATTATATTATGTGCTTCTATTGTCGATAGAGAGACTCTATTTTATGTATTTATTTATATTTGTTACAACAACGTCAACAACAACAACATTAACAACAGCAAAACCTTTAGGCCGCGTTTGGGAACTTTGATTTGGATTTGGGAAGTTGATTTAAAATCAAGTTTAAAATTTAGCATTTGAAATCCATGATTTAAGAAATCTTTTGTTTGGATATCTTTATTAAATGAAAGGATTTGAAATCTTTGATTTCAAAATCTAGTGTTTGGATACTTTATTATACATGAATTTGAATTTAAAATTGATGAAAATTTATTCTCTTAACTCATCTTGTTTACATCAAATGCAATGAAAATGTGTAAAATAGTAACCAAAAAACACAAATTTAGGTAATTTTGGCGATGGTAGCTACATTTGCTAAGTTTTCAAATTCATTGTCCACCATAACTTGCAAGAGTTTCAACAAAATGAAAATGAAGAAAACTCTACAAACATATCAAGTATCTTAAAAAAAAACATCTAAATAATACATTACCATTGCATATTTCACAAATATCCAGGCTGGAAAACACTTGAGGCTTGTTTCATATTTCATACATATTCAAAGTGAGAATAAGTTGATATTAGAGCAAATAAGTAACAATTCCATTATCTTCTCAAATGCAGGTACAACTGACAATTACATAGTCAGTTTGGTCTTTGATATACCAAGAGAAATGTTAATAAGAAAAAATACAAAGAGTTACAAACTGAATAGCATGTGAGAAGAGAAGTATCATTGATGTAAAGAAATTGCAACTGAGGATTCAGAAGTGCTTGTATGATAAACCCTATCCGCAGCAACAAAAGAGTAATTCATATGCCATCACGATATGAGCCCAAAACCTACAAAGAAAATGAGCATATCAATAATTTTTTTAATCAAGCTAACAAGCTAACAAATTAAAGAAAAATGTCGGATAAGTGAGACTGAATAAGATAAGCATAAAAACATATGGAGACCTGTGAGAGTATTGGTTAGGGAAATCAATACACTAGATGATACACAACCTAATAACAAAAAATCAATACACTAGATGATACACAACCTAATAACAAACATGAGAACTACATTTGCGCACACTTTACAACTCAGCCTAACATCATACATGAGACTTAGTCACTCAAATCTGTCTAGCATCATACATGAACCAAAGGAAGAGCATAAACTGAAGGAAATGCAAGCCCCCAAAAATTAAACCAAAGGAAGAGCATAAACTGAAGGAAATGCAAGCCCCCAAAAATTAAACAGTCAAAGCATGTACTTCGGATCTCAGAACTCAACACATTCAGACATACGTTTAGATACTCGAATTAAACAGTCAAAGCATGTACTTCGGATCTCAGAACTCAACACATTCAGACATACGTTCAGATACTCGAATTAAACAGTCAAAGCATGTACGCCGAAACATAGAGGCTGAGAAAGCTATATTGGTATAGACATCCTCCAGGAAAGAGAACAATTTGAGGTTAAGAGTAAGATTTAAGAAAATGTTTGGCATTAATTTTAGTTAGCCATTACAGGGAATATAACTTGAGGGAGTATAACTTGAGGGAATATAACAATAGATGGCGGAAGGAGTGTCCTTGTATATGGCCCTGGCAATTGTTCCCACTTAGGCGCAATCAAGAAATGAGACATAAGTATAATGATCAATTTTATGACATGTATACAAGTGATAAAAATAGCCAATGCTTTGAAGAGAAAAAGATGAATACATATATATATTTTTTTTTTGACAGAACAAAAATGCAGCCTTTTACAACATATTTCAGAAAATGAACAAACAAGCACCAATCTGTTATGAATAATTGTGACAATAAATGATATGTGTGTGTGTGTGTGATAAGTGGTTCAGTTCATTGAAATTGAGGTACACAAGAAGAAAAGTAGATTTGATACGCCCATATCATCCCAAGACATTAGTACATGAATAAGCACCACATTTCAAAATGAATGCATCAAAATCTGTATTATTGCCACAGAAAGATATGGAAGATATGCCAAGGTTGTTAGAGTATGAGTAAGAAATGCATTTAGAAATGCATCATAATCAAGTATACACTAAATAAAAAGAACAGAATTCTCAATAAAATAAAAAATTTGTACATTTGAGATGAGATAAGCACTCCTTACTTGAATTAGCTAAGAATTCATCAAAATCACCAAACCCTAATGCATTCATAAGAAATTATCAAAAAATTAGAAATATTCGGTTAAAAATATTGTTCAAATAACATTGAGATGAAGAAAAGTAGTCCGACCTGAAAACTAGAAACTACTCCTTAAGAATAAAGAGAATAAAATCTCTTTTTTCATCATCAGGAAGTGACTTCAACAGATAAAACTTTTCCGGGTTGCTATCCATTATCCATTATCCTAAAAAATAGCATCCATAATATAGGACATGTATAAGACTTCAACCAAAAAAATACAGAAAGAATCAAGTGATAAAAAGGAACATATTCAACTGCTTTATCTGTTTGTAATCCAAACATAAAGTTGTGAAGTTCATAACAAAGAATGTATGATGTTATATCAACAATTTGAAGCTAAGGGCTTATGTGACTATAATAGTTTGCCAAGTAAACCTTGTGAAGATGTTGGGCAATTCGAGCTAAGAGTGTGTAAAAAGAACAAATATATTGAGTACACATTCCATTGTCAACAACCATACTCGTTAAACCTTTATACTTTCTTTCTTTTCATAGATTAGTTTAAAATATAACTTCCATAATACTTATATAATAAATATGAATTTTTTTTTAAATCCGCTCTCCTACTAAAGGTTAGCTTTCTCATTACAAATATCTATAATGAGGTATTTATCAATACCTTATTAAGCTAATCCTTGGATTGAATGGAGAATAGAAAGTGCGGAACAATTTACAAGTATAGCGACTCATTCCCACAGCTAGTATACATTTTTAGACTACTACTCATGCATTAAAAACTTCTGCTGCATTTTTATGATTAATTTCCAGCCTGACATCAATAGACTAGAGCCCTTGCAAAGACTTCAAACTAAATAGTAGATTGATATAATAAAATTCATGGAACTTTCAATTGAAGAGTATCAAATAATAATGCAGAAATAAAACATTAAACTTAATACTAAGTCCAACTTGTGGTCAACCACACCAAAGACGAATCGATTATGTATACATACACTATTCCAAAAACTGATTATGGAATTTTCGATTATGTATACATACACTATTCCAAAAACTGATTATGGAATTTGAACTCTACGAAAGTATGCAAAACGAATCTTATGAGCATCCATAAAATCCAAAAACTGATTATGGAATTTGAACTCTACGAAAGTATGCAAAACGAATCTTATGAGCATCCATAAAATTCATATAGGATGTTTGCATGGGAGCACTCAAAACAAAACCATTTGTCAGTCGCAAATAATATAAGAAAAAAAATACTGCCAAACTCATGATCACAAAAGAAATGCATTTTATTAGTGACGATTATCGCACGTTAAAACAACATAATCATGTCCATACATAATAGTTATAATATAGTTAAGACAGATCTCTCATTAATCCATTCTCATCTCTGCAGAGGAACTCATGATCACAAAAGAAATGCATTTTATTAGTGACGATTATCGCACGTCAAAACAACATAATCATGTCCATACATAATAGTTATAATATAGTTAAGACAGATCTCTCAATAATCCGTTAAACCTTTAAAATAGCAACATACATGTTTTGTGTATACGTGCATGTACCCGCCCATATATAATCATTTCCCAGAGTTCAATTTTTGGGAAAAGAACCAGACACAACGAAGGGGGGAAAGGCTAGAACTGTGAATTTATTACTGAACTCGTTTTTGCAGTCATCAAACAGTCTCTGTGGGTGAAAATAACAATTTTGAAATTTCTAAATATACCAAAAAGAAGATCAATCTATAAACTTCTGGCAGTGATTGGGGGGGTGTATAATGGGTTTTATGACTTCAAATTATGCGAACTAGGTTATAACTGAATAATTAATAACCGAATGCAAAGGTGGTTGAAATCTCAAAACTTCAGCATTTGCGTACATATATTGTAACTTCAAGTAACAAACAGCAATGAGCTTTAACGAAACAAAAATTCAAGATAAATCAGAGGTTTGCATTTAGTAGACGAATATCAAAGAGTTATTAATCATTTGGGGAGAAGCAAAAGAGAACTCACCCAAATGCAAGACAGGGTTTCAGTTCCCAAAACCTGGAAAAAGAAAATAAGCAAGTTATGTAACATGAATCCAACATTAACACAATATAAACCCTAGATCAGATCTAGGGTTTCGACTGTAGGGGGAGAGGCAGGGGGAAGGGGCAGGGGGAGAGGCGGCGGCGGGGGGAGGTGGAGAGAGAGACTTTACCTGTGAGCGAAACCAGAGAGAGAGAATCTAGGCCCAAATCAGAACCCAAACTAGATATTTGGATTTGAAATACCCTGGATTTTAAATCCAGGCTCAAATCCAAGTTCCCAAACACACCCTTATACCAAATTTTTTTGGGGGCGGCTAGGTGAATTTCATTCTTTCATTCATTTCTATTGTGAGTTATTTCCTCTATTAAGTTAACTATTATCATATCCTTCTCAATTGCTTCTTTGTCCAGCTCTTGATCCTTTTAGCCTCACTAACTATAACCTTATTACTTCTTCCAACTGGGCATTCAATTGCCTCTGCTGTACGCAACCAACTCATGTTATCCTTGATTGGAGCAATCTCTAATCTCCCACAAATGTGCATTAAATTTATAGTTGTTTAAGCACATTTTTGCGGAAAATAAGCCGAAACAATGAACTCTTCTTACGCTGCAGGACAGGTAACACCCTTGTATGTAATTAAAGTGGACGACTAGCTTACAACATCAGTATTCATTCTACGTGCCTTAGAGTAAAGCTATTTCATCCATATTCTAACTTTTACTATTGTTTAATTAAAAATTTGAGTAAAAATGCTTCTTTTGTTCTACAATTTCTACTTTGTTCTAACAATGATATTCAGCACCTAGTGCCATCCTTTCCAGTTACTTTAATTGACTAATTGCTACTTGGTCATGTAAGCTAGTGCTAAACCATGAATGTAATACATGCAAAATGTATATTCTATATACAACATTACGCAGGCACATGCAATTCCATTCATTGTCTAAACATGTGAAAGGAAGTTGACAGATTGGTAGTCAAGAAAAATGGAGAGATACATATTTCCTTTTCCAATGTCCCTAAAGTTTAAAGAAGAGATGGGATGTTATTTGTTATTGATTGAGGACCATACATATGTTGAATTTAAAAGTTAACACATCTGCTTTAAAATCTTTCTAATTATACACATAAATATATCAAGGATTGTCACTAAGGGAAATTTATGCTGATTTTGATCTCTTGTTCTTTAACCATTATTAGCTATGATGTGGTTGTTTTGTTCCTGCTCTCTTGCTTGTCCATCTGATTGACACATGTCCATCGTATGCATCATAGCTGAAGGTATTTTCTTTAAAACCTTGATGTTTTGGATGATGTCAGCACTATCGTATTACAACATATGTACCAAGGATTCCTGTTTTTGGTTTTCTTTTTTTTTATCTATATACCTCGTCTGATGGTTTTACTGGGAATATTTACTGACATGTCAATTTATTGAACAGATGTTGTTCTTTGATTCTGATATGGAAGGTGAGCCAGCTAACTTTAGAGATGTATTTCTTCATAGCCAAGCTTTAGAAGGCATTACATTGTCAATGGTGAGTTTGTTCTCTTATCTTGCATGTGTGTCTCTTGTGTAGTAGTACATTAATGGTTCAGAGTAAATTATATTACCTGTACATTCTATTTGGATATATAAATGAATAATTACATAGTATGAATCATAACAAAGAGTATTCCATATATGCACATTTTCCCCATGAAAAAACTCATGCCAATCAGGTGCATGATTAATAGTAATATGGGTCTGGGATAATTTCTATTATGCTTGGTGTTTCCATGTAAAATATATTCCGAATATCCCACAATACATTGCCTTTACAATGAGACACTTAAGAAAATTTGTAAAGAACCTAGTCTGTCTGCTGTTACACTTTTCCAATGTCCGCGAGCATTAACTATTTTGCTTCAGTTCCCTCCATTCACACCTAGTTTTCTTTCATAAAACAGCATAGTTTTGTATTGGGTCTGGTCAACATGCTATCTAAAATTTTCGTATGCTACTGTTTTTCAACTTCATTTAATGCTCTCACCAGTCCCATCCCATAATTTCACTCCTACATGTCTTTGAAGTTCTTATAGATCAGCACTTCCTTTTTGATACCTTGTCCAATTTGATGCTACTGTCTTCTGCAAAGAAACAACAAAAGACTTTGGCCTAATTTTAAGGCTTGGACTAATGTATAATGTAGGGATTATTTCCTCAAAAAAGATTCAGTACTAAGTCATGGTTTGACTTATTTGTTTGGCTTATTTTTTTCTTCTTAGAAGATTGAGAGCCTTCTGGGAACATGAAGTCAAAAGTTAAAGTTATATGCATGATCCCTTGTTGGAAGATAGTCTTTCTTGGAAGATGAACTAGAAATCAAATTATATGCGTGGTCCCTTCTTGGAAGATAGAGAGTCTTCTATGTACTGATTGTAGTGCTGGCACTAATTAAAAAAAAAACTATGTGAGTCCTCCAGACATGCATTTTTCACCTGCTTCAAAATTTTGAAGCCTGGTCTTTCCTGCTGGGGTTCCATTTCGGTTCCTTAAAATTCAGAACTATTTCGGCCAACAATCTATCATTCTTCTTTGTGAGCATTTTTTTTGGGGGTGGGGGTGGTTGGGGGGGGGGGCATTTTTTATGTAATATTTGTTGACTGTGATTTCAGGTGAATACACATTTTGAGCCTTTGTTTTTGTTTTTGTTTTTGTTTTCTCATGCATTATTTGAACTCCTTTATGGCGCTTTCTGCTTAGTTATTGAGGCATCATGGAGTGTAACGTAGGTTAGAAGCCTTAGTACGGAGATGTCCTCCTAATTGGTCATGTTTCTAAGTTTTAGAACAAATTACTTACAGTTAACGTTTTGCAACATCTTTCAGAGATTGGGTATTGTAAGTGTCATCATACAGTTACGACTGGTAGGAATTGCGGTTTTTCTAATCCAATGTGCACTTTTCCCTTATGTTTTCGTACTGGTTATTGTTCTTTCTGATAATGGACGTTAACCGCAGGTTGACAATCTTTTGTATGATTCAGATTTTAGAAGCACCAGATGAGGAAGAGGTTGCTCTGCTATTGGAGATCTTCAGGTAAGTCTGTTTTACATGAATCTTGTGGTTTTTCTATTTACTGTGCTACTCCTGCTGCCTTTGGTAAGTAATTTTGCTCGAGTGTATAGGCAATAATTATGACCTTAAGTTGTCTTGCTGATAGCTAGCTAGCTTAGGAGCTGATATTTTTCCCTCAACCTCTTAGTTTTACCTTAAGATCTGATCAGGTAGATCTAAGTTTCTCTTTTTTGGGTAATACTTGCAGACTCTGTTTTACAGGAGGAAAGGAAGTTCATAATGCGATTGTCAGTAGTATTCAAGACTTGGCTAAAGCATTCTCTGGATACCAAGATGAAGTACTGGTATGCCATTTATATTTTCCTCGCGTCCATATTGGAAACTGTCATCAGATGGTCTGTTTTTGTTTATTTAGCTCTTCATAGTTAAGAGAAGAAAGCTTCTGTATGTATTAGCATCTGCAGATTTTATTTCCTATTCAATTACACGGGTTGTGTCGGTCATTTTCTGCATTCTTTATGCAACTATATAAGTAATCGTAGATTTAGGTTGAACTAAGCCGCCTTCAAATACTTGTTCGGTCATGGATGCAAATGTTATATATCAAGGCATGTGCAGAATTTATTCTGCTTGTTTTAAATGTTTTTCCTTCAGTCCTGCATACAAACTTTGGAATGTGGTAAAGTTTATAGCTTGATGTTCCTTCTCCAGAAAGGCAGTTGTATTAATTTATTACTTGTTATTGCATACAATTATGTGTTGTAGCTATATTCTATGTGGACAACATATAAAGTCAGTGTTTAAAAAAGCTTTTTTGAAACTCGCTTTGAAACTCATAATTGAAGCTATTTATGCCTTGAAGCATATGCCTCATTACTAAAAGCATCAATGAAATGTGCGCTTCACGCTTCAGAAGCATTTCTCTTTTGAAGTGCATGCTTTACACAATTCAGGAGGATGCAAAAGGATTTTGACTAAAATTCACTGTTATAAATACCGGTAAATAGCCCCGCAATAGTAGCACTAATAGCATTAGCGGTCCCTTCTCGCGACGTTATCGTCCGCTACGCTATCACGCAATAGCAATGACATATTACGGAATATGTCTGTTTGCAAAAGCGGCCAATAGTGTGTCATAACGGTAAATAGTGAGCGATTGCATTCAAAATTTGCTTGTTGACTGCTATTTAAAAGCGGTTTGAGGCTTATTTTTTTAAAATTAAACTCAACCTTTGACCATTGCATTCCACCGTCTTCTGTGATTTTGAGCATACTCCCACCACCTCTTATAGCCTCTGGCACCTACCTTGATACTTCCTCTCACCTCCTTCACCGTGAGCTCCTCTTAGGGCAGTCTTGTCACCGCTAAGCTCTTCTTCTCGAAGACGACGACTTTTTAACTCCTCCAGTCATCTTCGGTATTACGTGATAGTTACATGTCAATTTCATGTTTATGATCTCTTTAAATCATCAAATATGTACTTTTAGATTTCTTAGTTTTTTCTTTAATTTTTCTTTTTTAGTATTTATACATATCTAAATTAAACCGCTATTTGACTTTACGTTTTTTACCGTTATTTTGCCGCAATTGCCCGAAATAGCCTTAGTGATGCCTCACCGCTACGCGACGCTATCCGCTACCGATAACCTTGGTGGTCAGATATCAAACTTAAGTGGTCAATATGTTACATGCTGACACATGCATGCATGTGTCAGAGAGTGTATGCATGTGCATATGTCATGCACATGCAACTGTGTTATTTATTTATTATGGATTGAATTTATCTTGTACTGTAATGCACTTCATTTGATTTTTTTTTCTAATTTTGTGATACAGGATTACAACCCGATTAAGATATTTTGAAAATGATTATGTGCCAGACTTCATGGCTGAAGCTGTCTCATTTTTGCTGAGAAACTCGTCAGCTATGGAACTTAAAAAAGGTATTACAAGTATACTATTTGGTCACTTTTGCGTTTATACATATTTATTTCTTATTTACTAATAAAGACCTGAGTGTTTATAGATTGTTACGCCACAATATAGTATATGTTTATAACATTTTTAATGTAGCATAACTCATGAGGTTTAGCCTCATGCTTGAAGCTTACGCCTTGCTTCATGAAGGATCTTTTCGCATTGCATCTACGATTTTTTAAACATTGGTATAAATGCATTAAATACTACAAGGCTATGGAGATGATATTCATTGTTATATCAAAACCGTTTATTAATTGTTAATGTTGCAAAACTGATTCTTGTAGTTTGAAGTGTCAATCTCATCAATATAAACAAACAAATATGATAACTTCGTATTCCTTTGATGTTATAAAACTCAGCTTAAACATGATTACTCTTGCATTGCATTCTTTCCTGCGTGAGTGCTCTCTCTTTTAGGTGTCTAAATTTCTTGTTCTGCTTGACTATTGATGAGGTGCTTTCTATTTCATTTTTCATGATGACCTAGGAAGAGTAACATGATAACTGTTCATTCAATCAACATCTTGAGCCAATTCATCTGCCTTTGGGAAATAAGTTTTAGTTACTCAAGTCGTATGTCTCTTGCTAACAAGCTTCTTATTCATTATGGGCATTAGTCTCAGAGATAAGTTTTACAAATTGATGGATGGTTTACATTATAATTTTATTTATTGTTTTATTTTCTTATAGAAAATTGTTCATGGCTATATATTCTCTTGATATTTTTAATATATATTCGAGGAAACAATTTTGTTTCAGGTGAAACGTGATGAATTACTTCAGTTTGCTCAAGGTGCCATCTCAGGGTTGAAACTAAATGCTGATATTGCAAGGTCAGTTGGAAAATCTTCGTAATTGAAGTATGTACCGTGGTTTCCTTATGAACTTGTCAATCTTTATTTCCTTATAGATGTTAACCAGTATCTAACTATCTATGTCCACTAAGAATAACCTCTGCTTATTATTTGCTTTTTTTGCTTGCCTCATTTCAGTGAGGCCTTTGTCCTTTAGTACGAGGTAAGCTCCCTAGTTATGCATAGTGATAGTTTTGTGCTAGCTTGCGATATCTGTTTTTTTATATGAAGAAATAAAGATCACCACCTACTCTTACATTTGTATAACAATTTCCATGTGGGCTGTTTCTAATTTAAGTGGCACCTCGCCACTTCGCGCTGTTATCCACCACGAAAATCATCTGCCGAAGATAGGGTGAATGATCTTATCCTTATTTGGTTTCAGAGTTGATGCTGAAGCCTCAAAGCTGCAGCAAAAGATTGATGGAGTAGAAGTATTGCGCTCAATTGAAAATTCTGATAGGACTTCTGAGAAAGCACCACTTACATCTGTGGAGGTATATTTGATGTTATATTTCTGAGCGGTGGTTTTTTTCAATGAAGTGAAGCGTGAACTTGCAAATGTCATTTGGTCAAGGTCTTTACAGTTGTTTAATGTATTGGTTTTTTTATATACTTTCAGTACCTATATTTGGCCTTACTAATTGCAACTTATTATATTTATTTTCCTAAATTAGGGATTTTTGGAAATCTTCTATATAATTCATGCTTCATATTAAATGTTTAGGCTCTAAAAGCAGCACTTTCTGAAGTTCGCCTTTGTGCAAGACTGGAAGAACTGTTACTAAAGAAGAAATCAATAAATCCTGGAGACTCATCGGAGGCCCACTCACAGAAGGCATGTTTCCATTTAACTTTTTGAGGGCGTGAAACTTTGAATGTTAAAAAAAAATTCAGATCAACAATTTTGTGCTGTTATGATGTAAGTGTTCAAGACACAGCAGCTTATCATAGCACAAATGTTGAAGCTGAATCATGGTGCTGCAGATAACTGATTTAAGCGCCTTCATGCACCTGTAGGCTAATGCTGTCTACCATCTCAAAATTGGGGGTGGTTGAGCTCACTTTGGTGGGAGGTTATGGTTTTTTTTTTTTCCTTTTTCTGTTTTTTTTTG